GATCGCTAAATTAGGTTTATGGTTCTATTAAACAAAACACGACACCCACTAATTTAATGCTCTCATCCACGCTATATCATGTCACAACTCAGATAAACACTCAACACGAGTATCGAGGTAATTCGACACTTCCAATATTCTTACCCCCTCAAGGGGTAAGGTGGGGAGATTCGATCAATCATCTATACTTGGTCCATGATTGTGAACTCATTTATATAACGAGTTCGTGAACACATATTGGTATATATTATGGTTGTGATATGATTTGGCAGTTTGCCTCCTAGTTAAAATAAACTATGAAAAGCTAATCTATATTTAAGATGCACAATTATTGCTTACATTTTCATGATTGATTTTGTTCTGTGCTCTTTTTCTCTAGACACGCATTTAATAGTTTCCTTGATATTTTCTTGTTACGACAACTTGTTAGGTAATTTGTAAAAATCTATTCGACTAAAATTAATAACTGTGTCCACTTTAAGAATGCATTACTAAGTTAACCTCCACTGTAAAAGCTTGTTTAAGTGCCGCAAGTAAAATTTAATTTAATTTGTGACAGGCGAACTTTTGAACCCACAGTCACAAATATTTGTTTAGGTACTACAATTTACTACTTGTACTATAATTTTTGAGGTTCATATTAACAAAGAAAAAAAACAATCAGTTCAACCACAGTCCCATACAATCTTGGATAGCTATACCAAACAACAGCATGATAACCTTTATAAATATTACAATATATATTCTACTCGGACCAATCGATTTAATCATGGATTATTTACAAAGACGATTTAAATATCAAACGCCTGACAAACTCCATAGTCAAAGATGTGTTAATACAATTGGAGTATTTCCGAACCAATTCGACTAAGGGTCCTTCATGAAAAGAGCGTACCAAATCATAAAGGCCGGCAATGCAATTGCGAACTTTCTGGCAATGTCCATGGGCGGTATCACTTAACATTAGGTTTTGCACGTTTGCCTCCATTAAAAATTGTTTAAGCCTAAATCATCGCACTTCATATTTAATAAAATATACAAACTCTTAATAGTTCCGTCATTATCGCTGCCGTGATTATTTCGCATAGTCTAAAATAAATATTTTATTAATTCAATCCACAAAAAGATTGGAAGGCTGAAGTGCATGTGCTTTCAGACTTAATGTTCCGAGCTTAAGAAGATCTGAAATGCCGTGGCCTTAATCCACTTAGAATAACAACAGAGCTAATGTCTACCGCAAACCCTCCCTTTCTTATTGTCTCGTGCCCCGAGGATTTGTTACCAATTTATTGTGTCTTACTTGAAAATATTGTAGGATTCAAATTTGCTAATTGGTTTGTAAAATAACGCTCGAAGTTATTAAAAGAATATATTTATTTATTGCAATCTCACTTTAAGATATGATGATCACTTTATGTTAAAAATCCTTATTAGTAAATTAGATTAGACTTAAATTACTCATTAGTCTGAAGTTAGGCTAGATCGTAATGTTCCATGATGTCTTAGTAAAGACACGTAAAAAAATTGTTATGTTATAAATGAGTAGAATAAAAATAGTCGGTTTATTAAATTGTTTTAAATTAATTATATTTCTTTAAATAAGAATTTAACTAAGGCGTTATAAAAAAATATGTTTTTTCTGGCCTTAACTTAAAAGTAATTTGTCCTTTAGATTAATTTGTATGAAAGTTTTCAGCTATACGATCAAATGCGTTTTGTAATGTCCATTTTGACTTTTTTTTTCTAAAACATCAATTGTTTTCTGCATTGCTTTCATTTCTTCCCATTCTTGGAAGTGTAATATTTTTTTGTTTTTTTTTTTGTTCAAGGTAATTGTTTTAAACTGTAGAAAATTTATATATAAATGATGTGGTGTTTTAATTTAAAAAAATAGATTCAATAAACCTCTAATACAATGCATTATACTTAAAGCGAACCGATCCAAATATTATTTTAAACTTCCGATTATTCTAATGAAACCCAGATTAATATCGAATAAAATTGTCAGAATAAAAAACTTTCGACGGCAATCTTGTAAATACACCGCTCAAATTTAATTACGTAAAACAACACGCCATTTTGCGGCATACCGCGGAAAAAGTAACGTGAGCGATCTACGTCCAACTTTACAGCCCGGTGTTCATTAGAACTTAGACTTGTATGAATTTTCACCAACTTTCCAACGTAATGAACACTAAAAGGAGGCAAGTTTGAGCGCTTCAAATTTTAATACCGCCACTGCTTGGTCCACGCTTAATAAATTGGACGCGTGGAATCCGAACAGAACCTGAAGTTAGAAATTCAATATCCGCTCAGAGTTCGTTTAAGCCAACTTTGTGTACTGTTTGTCTGGCTTTTGAACTGTCTTCATAATTACCGCCCTGGGTTACCGATATGAACCTCGCACGACAAAACTTTGCAAAAGATCCTCCGATTATACTTTTTATTGTTTGGAAATTTAACAATATTTTTCGCTACTGATTAAAACAGCGGCGGTTTAAAAAATTTTGTGCGTTTGATTTTTGGTGCGTTATTTTATAACGACAACGCTAACAAATATTGCTCTGAAATAGGTTTCAAATAAACCGGATCCTAAATTATTCAACAATTATTTGCATATAATACACATAAATCGAGATTTACGATATAATTACAATTAACTCATTAAATTGTCATCTTGAATTAACTAGATAATTAATAAAATTTTACTTAATATTAGTTAAAAATTGTATTAACGACACACAAAAAATAAAAAATCAAGTCCCCCAATATATGATTTTCGTTTTATATAGTTTAGTTTAGTAGAAATAAAGGAAAAACATACAGGCTGCATATGTTTCACTATAATATGGGCCAATGTGATTAACTAAGCACCCGCATTCCCTTATCAGTACGCGGACTGACTCTCTAATTTACTAAAACCCATACACTCGTGGACTTATAAATTGTCTCACTTGTAATAGTATTAACACCCGTAAAGTAAAAAACGTGAGGAGATCGGGCAGTACGAAAAAATGATCAAAAACCACATAAAAATCTGTGCCCAAAACAAAAGGCTTCCAACTCCATTGCTTTTTCGTAATCGTATACATTTGTTCTATTGAAATGTCTACCAAAATAAAACAGTAGAGTCATCGTAATGCACTTTATTTGACAAATATGTATAAAGTGGCTAGATTTTTCATGCTCGATACAATATTATTATAATTATAATTTATCAATACGTTTTAAAAACTACCTTTAAGCTTGAAAAATTATTTAAAAAAAATCATTTTCTTGGTATTTTTAATTAACGTTGTATTCGTTTTCTACAGTTAGTCTTTATAGTTTTATTCACATTTTATACTCAGGTCACATTGGCGTAAAATTTTGTAAAAACTATTTTAATTTAATTCAATAAGTAATTTTTTTTGTCAGCGATTGTACGATTCACCTGCGATCAATAGTGTTATCACCACTCAAAAGTTTATGAAACTATTGTCCCTCGCTTATCTCCCATCGATACGGCAACGACGATAAAAATATTCATCATATTTTATATAAAAGCCTAATCATTCAACGAAAATGTAGTTTTGAAATTAAATATGTAATAGTATTTATACCTATGATTTGGGTTTTTAATTTATTTAATCGTCAATTTTTGTTACTATTTTTTTTTTTTGTTTGAATAAATTCGGATTAACCACCTAATACAACATAACGCACTTTGTTTTATATTTTAAAAGAATTAAATTTTGCGCTTAAGTTTTGATATATATCAGCCACATAAAGTAATTTCAAGTTATATACGCATATAATAACGAATAGTATTGAGGGTAAAATTCTAAATACTGTATGGTTTTTAGTTCATAATATATAATTCAAAAAGGGAACCTGACCGTGTGAGATATATTAGGATTTAGTAGATCCGAGAAATAAATCATAACTACATTTAAAAGTAAGCATTTTTAAGGAATTCAATATTTTGATTTTGTCTTTGTTTTGTATTACACTTGGCTATTTAGGTTTAAGATTCCCGCAACGATTGAAAATAGAAAATATATGTCAATTAAAATCAGAAAGCCCTGAGAGCAAATATAAACTTCAAAAGTGAAAAAAATATACATAAATTACACCAAGTTAAATGAATAATTTGCGGAGACAAAGACGAAGTGGCAAAGTTTAAATTTTCTATTTTACGCTTAATAAACGGAATGTTTCAGCAAAGTTTTCCCAGAATACAGCAGCAAATTTATTGCTACGTCTCTCGGGTAATTAGAGCAAAATGCTGCAATCTGCGGGTTTTATTAACAGTTAATAAAATTGTAGACCGGAGCAGGCGGCGTTTCCCAGCGCCAGCAATGCCTTGCAACCTGTTGCCGACGGAACCGCCTTCCGCCCATTGCTACAAGTACTTACCTTCCGCCCTACACTTCTTCGCCAGACTAACTCGCTTCTGAAACTCTTATACTATTTCTTACCTCATCCATCTTCTTCTGTCTTCGACCGGAAAAAAATACACAAAAATAATGAACAATAAAACTATCGAAACGGATTTTAATATTGAAATATTTAATAATTTAAAGAACATACAAAAAACGCACAAATTAAAACGCGAAAAATGAAATGTAAAATAACGAACGAATAGAAAATAACTTAGCGCGTGCGGCGGCAGAGTTATCGCGGTGGACTACTGCTGGAGGTTTCGGGAAACCCGGCCTGCCGCCGCCGCGGCTGACTGTAGAATGGCAGCGGGCTGAACAGCCACGGGCCCCACCCCTAACGCAAGCGCAAACACCATCATCCACCGCGCATGACCGACATCCTACCCAAAACTGGATAAGTGACTCCTACATCGTAGATATACCTATATGTGCTACATAAATGCTGCATTATATAACAATTACTTATTTTCATATCATCAGTAATTTTACCCTCACTATATCTATTATAAGTGTGTTAATATTTCTCTAGTTAACAGGCTAACAGTTTTCCAATATTATAGCAGAAATTACGCAACACTAATAACCAGCGCGTCTTGTTTTCTCGTTGACTACTATGTTATAGAGCTCCCTTATACCACTAAAATAGCCATTTCGCAAGGAGGTTTCGTAACCTTTAGGGAATGTCTGAAACTTTGACATTATGCGAGTAGTAGAATCAGGAAAGACACGCATTTCGTAAGAGTATGGTATTCCGAGTTTGTTGTACGCAAAGTCAACACTGTGGCCACACCGCGCCTCGCCATTCATATCAAAGATACTTGAATTTAGAAACCATTGTATGTTTCCAGCTCTCTGGTTTATTTTCCCTGCAATTTCTCCTGCTATACTTTGTGCTTTGTCAAGGTCTGTTCTAGTCACACCTTTACTGGCAAATGGGTATAATATGGAATGCCCGTCGCGTCTAATGGATATGTAAGCTTTCAGGTCTTGTTTATATTTCGCTAAGACATTGCTTATGAATTGAGTCTCATTTTCGGATGCGGCCGAAGGTCCTGGATAATTTGACGAGAATATATTATCTGATACTGGGCAAGTGGTCCAAGAATCGTCAAAATTCCGACTAATATCCACGCCGTAAGTAAGCTTATTCTGTAGAGGTTTCCGGTTTTTGTGCCATGGCTCCTGTCCCTGAAATGGTTTATGGTATGATTTTTAGTATGTCAGGGAACTGGCAGGAGGCTAACCTGATGTTACCTGTTCCATTGACAATCTCAATACGGTTTGCGAGTGGTGAGCTCTTTTCTTGAAGGAACCTAAGTCGAATTGGGCAATACTTCAGTGGGCAGCTGGTTCCACATAGTAGTGGTTGCTAGTATAATACCTAAGATTAGGAATTCTATTGGATTCAAGAAGGGCAAACAGCAGTCAATATAAGCATAAAAAAGTGATTTCAGCTGCTTTTTATCTCACTGTTAAAATAAAACCAGCAATATCCTTACACATCGGAGGTATTCCTGTCCATCTGGGTTTGTACAAGGCAGAATCACCCAAGTGACCTTCTCCATCATTTCGCTATACTCTTCACACGCAACGATCTGTTCTATGATAAAAAGAGCCAGCATCACAGGCCCAGAACCAGCCTCCTGACCAGCCTCTATCACGATTACAGGTTTCGACTGTCTTTCCACTTCGTCTGTGGTATTAAGCACAACCTGAATACAAATAGGATGTTGATACGACGGTATATTAAGAAAATTTGATATGTTTTTAATTAAAACTATGACTCAATTAGAATTCATTAGAAAGATTTACAGCTTATAATTAAATTGTGTACTAAATGTACTTTTTACGCCAATAAAAAAAATCTTTACATATAATCAAGTCCTTAATCATTTTATTTTAATCCAGGCTAACTAAAAAGGAAAAAAAATTAACAAACTAAATTAGTTGGGAAGTTATGAATTTGAATCTTTATGTAGAATGTACAACCTGGACGATACATTATACTTGACTTTATGCTAAGCCCATGACTTACTTATTGTCAAAAGCATTTTTTAGACATCAATCGCCACCAGACATTATATTTCTAATTTACCTAGACACATACAATAAGCCTTTTATTAAAAGTCCTAGAGGGCTTATATCAGAGAAGTATTTTATATTTATAACAACCATTCTAAGCTTTCATTATTTAATCTGTTTGATTCATTTTGACAATCAAGACGATGATCAAATTGCACCACCATTTTGCACGTGCTAACATTTAAATATTAACAAAAAACAATAACTAACGTTAAAATATTATAATAACTAAAATATATTATTAAAAGGAGTCCCTTTAGGCAAGGTTCCGCAGATACTGGCAGCGTTCCCCCTTTGAATAGCTAGACTAATTCTTTGTCCAAGGTAGCTGCCAGCTTTTCAGTCTCCTGTGATGTCGACTAACCTTTTTGATATTTCCTATATCAACCACACGAAATATATAGTCATACATACGCTAGGCCGGAATCAGAATGCAAAGAGCATACCTTTTTATTTACCATCAAGTGCTCTTTGTGTACATAAAAGGAACCATGCTCAGCCGGGATTCGGAGGATCTCCGGGTCGAGAATTGGACTACTTGATTATTAAGATAAAATGTACTTACTTCATAAAGCGTTCTACCCTCAAACGTGGCATTTTCCTCGTCCACTTTAATAGCGTGTCCACAAAATTGCTTGAGAGCTTGCAAATATACAATTATCTGAAAATATTGTTAATATTTTGCTTCTGTGAAATAACATAATATTTTATACCAAACCTTTAAAAAGGCTTTAATAAATCTAATATATAAAATTCTCGTTTCACGGTGTTCATTGAACTCCTCCGAAATGGCCCGACCGATTTTCGTAAAATTTTGTATGCATTTTAGTTACGTCTGCAGATCGGACAACATCTATTTTTCATCCCCGTAAATGTAAAGGCCACCCTAATATAAATATATTTTTTTTATTTTTTGATATTTTTTTTGTTTTTATTTTTTTATGATAAAGCATACAAAACAACATATAAACCTTAATTTTCATCCCTCTAAAATCAACCCCTATTTTTTACTATAGTAGATAATTATTTATTTTGACCTAAAAAATGTTTCCTACAAAAATGGCAAATCATCGTTTGCCGGGTCATTATATTTTGGTCTTAAGTTAGAAGTTTTGGATGGGTATTTAGTTAAAGATTTTCGTAAAAGTTAAAATCTTACGGTACTCGCTCCTATGGCTACATTCTCAACACACGGATCTTCATCAACATCTAGAAGGCTATTTAGCATTTCTTCATAACATGGACTTAGATTTTTGCACCTAATAAAAATAATTTCAGTAGGAAAGTAATTCAAAAATAGTTCAAATAATCATTTATCTTACCCACAATGCGAAGCGTTTACTATAAACGAATACCCTTTAACAAAACATTTCCATTAGTAATGTATAATCTGTCAGATATTATAAACTAGTAGACTCGGCCAAGCGTTGCTGTGGCTAAGATTTTTGTTATACAGTAGTAAACTATTCAAGAGAAACGGCAGGAGAACACCAATCCACCATGCTTTTTTGGTGGTAGTATTTTAATAAAAAAAATTAATAAAAGGACGCTTATTGTGACGTAACTATAAAAGATAGAGACATGCTGTCGCGACATTTTTTATAGATAGATATATGATGTGTCCTGAAAAATTGTTATACATGAATTTGTTCTATCATTAATAGTTTTCGCAGCGCACGCGATTGAAGGAAGTTTTTTTACACCTTGGGTTAGATTATTCAAGTTTTAGTAACCATCCCCTTTGAAAATGAACATAGCCTATGTCACTCGGGAATAGTGTAGCTTGCCAAAGGTGAAAGAATTTTTGAAATCGGTCCAGTAGTTTCGGAGCCTATTCATTTCAAAGAAACAAAAAATCAAATCTTTCCTCTTTATAATATTAGTATAGATAAAACTTACATAGTAACGTTATTATAACAGGAATTGAATTCTTCATACTTCTGCTACAACATTTCAATTCATTTTACACCTATATACTTTATATTGAAATAATAAACTGCGACAATAGTAATAAAACAATAATATACTTTCTCAATATTTATTACACATTGGAGTCAACAGTCTTAAATGCTTTTTTGTGTCGAGTTGGGGAGAATTCGTTTCCTATTTGGGCTGCAAACACCTTAAAACCTTCGTAGAATTGTGGAAGAACTGTATGTAACAGTCGTTCTGGGAAAAGAAATTCATAGCCATCAGTTAGTTCCATGGTGTAGGAATATGGTACTCCTATCGCTCCAAACGCAAAGTCATCGCTACCACCCGCTGCTGGGTACCATTTACCAGCGCTCATCACCCTGAAGGGCTTTCCTCCAGCTCTTTCCACTGCGTCAGAAACCATCTTCGCTAGGGAGTCAAGCTTCTGCCATTCCTTTGGCAGAAAATCGCCGGTGTAACCCCAGGGATACACCAAGTACTGTCCGTAAGAGTGCAAAGAGACGTATAATTTCATCCTTTTCCCATACGTTATCATAACGTTACGGACCATTTGTGTCTCTGGCTCGGAGAAGGGTTTAGGCCCGGCGTAGGTCTCTTTGTCGCAAGGGTTTTTAGACACCCCACTAACTGCCCATTTGAAGCCGTAGTTCCTGTTGCCATCAACCCCAAAGCAGTCCAGCAATGCGTTCTTGGACCTCGTCTTCCTCCAGAGACGATTCTGTAAATTAATAGGTAATATAAGGTAGATTTATTTATATGTTTTTTATATTTTTCTAATACAGCATTAAAGCCCGAACTCCAAAGAATTTCGATAACACACCATTTTACCACCCAATTTATGTATTCATAAAAGATTATTGTGACATATAAGCGTGATATTACCGTTCTGCTGGTGCGAGTGAATTCATAACCATCTGGATTAACGACAGGCAGTATGTACCAATCTACTCCATTGAGTTCGTGCCTTGCCTCCGGGTCACTGACCAGTCGATGGATCAGGTACATGGCCATGGCCGGTGCAACCCATTCACGAGCGTGAATACCTGGAGGATATATAATTATTTGTTATCATGTTCTGCGATTAAACTAGAAGTTATGTTATGTATAGCCTTATGTTATGTTATGTATAGCCCTATAAGTGGTTCCAGTGTCAAATTGTACATACTCGAATGAAGACCACGGAACACTAACTATGGACATGGAACATAACTTGCTTAGCATTCAGATATAATATAGACATGTAAAAAATTAAACATGCACAGCATCGTGCCACACTTTGCAATTAGTAATAAGTTTTATTTTAGTTAAAATAGTTTATAGAAAATTTTTGAGCCCTTCGGCGGCAACCAATTTGATTATTTATTCGTTGACGACACAAACGTTGATTACCTTTTTAGCAAGATACAGTTTTTTTATTTGCAAAGGTAGCCTCTGATACTAAGATTATTATGCAAGTCTAATATTATTATATAAATTGTGAAAAATTTAACAGAACGCGTTGTCTCCATGTCTAAGTAGCTGGTTACTGCGGTTATAAATAATTACCTGCATCGATAAATATGATCGGATTGTTTGCATTTGGATTTAATGATATTTTCGCCAATTTCATTCGTCTGCCTTGATAACTTGATCCCAAAGCTGCGAGTTTCAGCAGATCCGGATGCATCTTCGCCAACATCTCCAAATGCTCTTGCATCTGGAATAAAGATGTACCATATATTACATAAAGTAAACCTAATCAACCATAATAAGCCTGGGCTGTGTGTCTTAACTTATTCTATCAGATTCTGAGCGTTTTTTAAGGCAGCTGCCCACTGAAGTATTTCCGAACCAATTTGACTTAGGGCCCTTCAAGAAAAGAGCGTACCAATTATTAAAAAGCCAGCGCACTCGAGATAAAAAGCAGCAGAAATCACTTTTGTACGCTTATATTGACTGCTGTAGTGACAATCTTTCTTACTGTTGAATCCAATAGAACCAACAAATAGACTTAGGGTCCTTCAAGAAAAGAGCGTACCACTCGCAAGCCGTTTGACATTGAGAGATTGAGAGTGAGATTCTCTCATTAAATGAGCAGTGTTCGCCTGGAGGCTCGTCTCATCCCTGAGGTCGTTGGTTTGATCCCCGACTGTTCCCCAATGGACTTTCTTTCTATGTGCGCATTTAACATTCGGTCGAACAGTGAAGGAAAACATCGTGAGGAAGTCGGCTTGCCTAAGACCCAAAAAGCCGACGGCGTGTGTCAGGCTGCCTATTAGATTGACAAATGATCATGAAACAGATACAGAAATCTGAGCGCCAGACCTAAAAAGGCTATCTTATCAAGTTTGCCATCCTAGAATTTTTATAGAACGATTTTAAAACAAGTGAATATCTAATATAAAGTAAATTTAAGAGTTACAATTCGATATTCGCCTGTATTTTTTTTTTACGGAAATTGCAAACAATCCACTATAAAGATAGCTGTGGCATTCGCATAGAATATATAATATATTTAATGTGTATTATTAAGAGTATTACAGGTATCGGGGTGACCGAATAACATGAGCCATGTCCTAGAGGAGGAAACATTGTTTTACACTGTACGGTCGATGGTAAGACTATAACGAATTCTTCAAATAACACGAAACGAATTGATTTGCGAATGATAATTACTTCAGCTAATCAAGTAAGCGAAACAAAAGACTGTAGCAATGTTGATAACGATAAAGCGTTTGAAATTCATTAATCATTTCAATTTTAGAGTAAGTAATTAAAAAGTTGACGTTTAATTTATTAATTTATTTATATTTGCGGATGAACTGTACCGTGATAAAATATAATAAATGTAGAAATATATGTTTTTTGGGAAATCAATTTACAGACCCCGACACCGGAGAAACTTTTAAAACTGACGCGGGGAGTGTTTGGTCAGTCCGTGAGGTGCAATGGACCCCTTCCCACTAAAACCCAACAGCCCCATATGGGGGTCCCGCTAACAGAGAAATGCATACCTAAACTAAAATTATAAAGAGGGATGTTTGTATGTTTGCAAATAAATTACTACTGGACAAAATTCTATCATTCGAATGCTACTTTAACTCTGGTTAACGAAGGCTTTTCCGGAATTGTCTGGTTATATGTGATACGCCATATGAATTTGGTATTTAACTTAATGCTCAAAATAATAAACGACTCAAGTATCTTTACTCCAACTTTGATTTTGTTCCCTTTGCACTAGAGACTCTTGGGCCGTGAGTTGCTAATAAAAGATTTAAGGTGGCGCCTGATAGATACCATGTGACCCTAGAGCTGGTGCTTTCCTCGCTCAACGAGTAGGTATGTTTCGCAATACAGCGAGGAAACGCTAGCATTAAAGGTACACTGCCACAGGGACCAAACTTTCTAAATTAATTTTATTTTTATTATTATTACTATGTAGGTTAAGAACATTGTATATTTGTATGTTGGACTTACTGCTCCATAAGAGTGATATTCAAATACATTAAAACTTCGGAATACTCTTCGTCTCGGGCTTCTTTCGACGGCCTCAAATGATCTGAAATTATTCAAACATTTTAATTCAAATATGTAAGCTACAAAACGTATGAAACTTCTACATATTATTATCAAAAATCTTATTATTAATTAGTTATTGTAAAAACACAACAATTGTTCTGGAACTTATATGTTTTATTCCGCTCTCAGTATTTTATTTAAGCAATTAATCGTGTATATTTTTTATAGTTGCGTCGTTCTACGTCTGTATATAATATAATATAATATAATATAATATAATATAATATAATATAATATAATATAATATAATATAATATAATATAATATAATATAATATAATATAATATAATATAATATAATATAATATAATATAATATAATATAATATAATATAATATAATATAATATAATATAATATAATATAATATAATATAATATAATATAATATAATATGATTTAGAGTCGAGACTTAGTGCTAAGTATGACTCCCAGTAGTATATGATATTTTATTACTTAACACTATCTTGTCTCCAAATTCCCTTATCAGCCAGAGTGGCGCTGTAACCAAGATATTTTATAAAACATACCTGCCATAATTATCCTTAATATCATATGCAATCCCCTCTTTCTTAACGAAGTGTTTTAGCTCTTTCAGCTGTTCTGGAGTCAACAAAATGTCTGTGGTGTCATTTAAATTTCTACTTCTTTTGAGAATCTCTATTTTTGGTACGCCATTCTCGATATCACGTAATGCTTCGATTTGTGATTGTGTATTGGGGTACAGTTTTACTAACGTGTGGCTAAAATTAAAATATATAATTATTCAGCCTATGTAGCAAATCATACCACAGGCTTGTGTTCAATATTGTAATGAACAGAATTTGAAAATAGAACGTAGAAAAGTGTTGAAAAAACAATGAAATGATGCGATTTGTATCAGTCTGTGGTTTATTATGGTAGGGGAGCCCACGATGCTAAATGGGGATTTACTCGAGCGTCGTAGAGACCTATTGGGATACAAAGCTTAGATAAAAAGAAGAAAAAAATGTTATATGATAAATTCCTTTTCATCGGTGGGGGAAGCGGCTATAGATAGTTAAATATGTAAAAAAAAACTGTTCCATGGACATCCTCGAGCGCGTCAGATATTGATAGCATCTATGCCCTACGTATTTTTAATAATGTACGTATGTTAATCTGATCGTTTGCATGATGCGGGTGGTTGTATTTAAGGGTTGAAAATTAAAAAAAAAAAAATTTATCGAGCGCGTCAGATTTTCTAAGGGAGTGTTAAGTGCACCAAAAAAAATCTCTCACTCACTAATCTGACGATTTCGATGGGACGCAAACCCACAGCCATTTTCTTAATTTGCAAAAAAAATCGCAATTTTGAAATACTCAAGCGCGTCAGATTAAGATATATGTGGTTCATCTTTATGTTCTAAACGTACTGTCTCATAATCTGACGATTATCTAGAGGGATTCGCCTGATCTGACAAAAAAAAATAGAAAAACGGTTCACCTAAAGGGCCATCCCTGCAACTTCCCGCTAATTCCATTCCTGGGCGCTTAAAATTGATATTTTGAGCTCGCTGAGTTCAAAGAAATAACATTTCTATGCATTTGAGCTCTCCCAGCTCGAAAGTCTGATAGAAGTTTCATAGAACACTATTTTTGGAATTTTCAAACCGCAATAACTTTTGAATGGATCAAGCAATTTTCACGCGGTTGGCGGCATTCGACGCAGTTTTATCATTCTCATAAGTAATTTTGCAATTTTAATTGATCGAACCACAAATTTCGGAGTAATCCCGAAAAACACTTTTTCGGGTTTCTTTCATGTACGATATCTCTCGAACGAATCAACCGCTTTTGACCAGCTTGGTGGCGATCGACGTGGTTTTTCAAGCTCAAAGGCGGATTAGTTTTTGAAGTTGATCGATAAAGAAACCACTTAAAAAAAAATATTTCTTATTTTTTTAAGATTTTTCAAAATTTCTCAAAATCTATCGGTCCGAATCGGTTCAAATTCACAGGAAATGTAATTTTGAGGGAAATATTTTGAACGCCGTTTAGTAGATTCCGATCGGTTTAAGGAAATGTAGGCATCACGCAGCTGCACGCATTTAACTTTATCGACGAATTTTTGTTATTTCGGCTTGCGGAAATCGTCAGATTATATATTTTTCATTATTCTGGAATTATTTCCTTCAAAATAAAAGAAAAATTAGCTACGCTCGAGAATGTCGAGATGACGTTTTTTTTACAACTTTGTTGCCCTCCCCTTTTTTCCGTCACTCTCAAATTGTCAGATTAGTGGAATATACACTTTTTAGGATGTAATTAACTCACCCTACCTTAATCTGACGCGCTCGGGAATTTCTGATGGTCAATTTTTTTTTACTAATCTGATCCTGTCTCCTTCACGCGCGGCCTTATATATGGGCCTCATATTTTGTGGAGGTACTTAACCGGGTACAAGGTATCCCCCTATATAGTAATCTGCCGCGCTTTAGTAAATCCCGAAATCCCCTCTTGGGCTCCCCTACCATAAAATGGTGCGAAAATATCCGGAAAAAAACTAAAAATTTTTTCTTTTGAAATATTTTAGTACAATAAATTACTTGAATTGTCCTAAGTGTTCTTCAAGTAAAAGTTTTTAACGTTTTCAGTTTTAATCGTATATCCCATTATTTTTATTTCACTTAATTTTAATAAATAATTATGAGGTAATATGACCTAGCAGAAGGCTTTCGAAATGGCTATATGCCTAAGACAAAGGAAAATGCTAGTTAGACAAGAAAATATTAAAATTACTATCCAAGCTACTACTAATACACTTCGATGTGTCATGAAAAAACTATTTCAATCATTTTTTTTTTTTTTTAATGGAAGTAAAATTTTTCTAATTCATTATTAAAAATTTTTTTGGTTAAGGGCCTTTACAACACGCTAAGTAAAATAATTCCGCGTTTTCAGATACAACAACTGCCATCTATTGACCGGCATGATAATCATCTAATAGACTAATCAACTATAATTATTAATTACTATAGTAGGTACATAGGGACTTTTAGAAGGTATAATAAAATATTTTCTTACTCGTCATATGCATTGTCTTTCTTGCAACCCACTTGCAAATACAACGTGCTGACACCTAAAGAATTAATAAAAATTAGAAATGTAAAGTAAGTAAATATAAATTTAATATTTGACTGACGAGTCAAACACTATTATCAGACTCTTCATATAGTGGTTATTTAAGATTTTTTTAATGCAAACATTAATTACTAAAAAATAGTAAAGCTTTTATAACATATTATTACATTTAATATAAATACTAATTATTGCATGTACTAATAATGACTGCCTTATATAATATATCCACATTCCACAGAGCTGGCACTTTCCTGGCTCAAAGAATAAGTCTCGCAATACAGCGAGGAAATGCTGCCAGCGTTACAGGTACACTGCCACAGGGAACAAACTTTTTAAATTTGTTTTGATTTTCTTCTTTCTTCTTTAATTATTTTTATTATTACTTTATAGGTTAAGAAAATTGTAAATACTGTATTTGTGTAAATAAAATCTTATAGTTACAACTAAAAAAAAAAAAAGTAACTAAATATATCCCGAAGATTAGGTGTAAATGGTTAGTAAAATATTATGTAAGATTATTCGACTTTTTGATGACCAGGTTTACATGACTAAATTATAGTTTACTTAGAATAAAAAGTAATATCCATCTCCAAAACTTATCCAAATGTAATCAATAGCAAAGTGAACCCATGGGCGGTGGTTTCTATTTAAAAGAGCCTGGCCAACTTACCAGAAGGCTCAACTGATCTTTACGATGAAAGTGCTCAAAATATCGCTACATTTATACATTTTATATAAAAAAATTACTGTAAGAATATTCGTAAGAGTTAAAATTAAAAAAAAAATTAATAGAATTTATCGTTATTATTTTCTATGGTAACTTAATTTCCTTCCTTCTTCGTTAATTTTCATTTTCCAACAATCCTCAATCTAAATATTCTTTTGAATTTTCTAAAAAGTTCTGGATAATGCTTTGTGTTTTGACGAAGAAAGGCTGCCTACAGGTATAAATAAAAGTAGACATTTAATTCCCTGTAATGGCGCAGGCTTTTAAGGCGTTTAAAAAATCCTCCATTAATGGCGGAATGTTTGTGACTTAAATATCTGAGAGCATATTTGCGTAGAAACGATTCTTTAATTTGTGGTGACATTTATCGTGTTTCCTTGGCTTCGAGTAATTGAGGTTGCTTCTCCGGATTTTGTAGGGAACAAATGTGTAAGGTACTAGCCGGTCCCACATTCGCACCGTTTTTATTCAATTTAAAAATTTATAAAACTAGCCTAACTAAGGAATAATTTAGTTTATAGATAACTTTATTTTTTACATACGAATGTTTCCTCTTTATCTTTATATATATAATTATTCTGTAAGTGTGTATGTCACTGAACTTCTCTCAAACGACTGGACCGATTTTGATGAAATTTTTTGTGTGTGTTCAAGGGGATCTGGGAATGGTTTAGATTCACAAATCAGCCCGGCAGATGGCACTGCAGTCGGTACTTTCATACTTTGCTTAATATCCTAATCGCTTTAAATATCATGCAGGACAACGTCTGTGGGGTCCACTAGTATACTATATGAACAAAACTGTTAAAATATTACCTCACAGATTAAGCGTGGAAATTGACAGAGTTTTATGCATCGCTGTGAGTTATGTGCTAAACAGTAAAGTAAGTGCAAAAATATAACTCAAGAACAGAGTGTCTTCCGGTTAATAGAGACTGTAAGTAGGGTTATTGGACACTTTCTTATGTTAAATATCCTTTTTGAAATTACTTATTTATTGAAGTGAAACTTGTTTAGGCGCATGAGGGTAGTTTTTTTACGGATGAAACGCAATAATAATAATATTAGCGTCACGGAGATGTGCAGCGTTTTTGTCGAAGAAATGAGCAAGCGAAGAGAGCGATTGGGAACGATTGAGAGAGAGTGAGAAGGGCGAATTACCTTATAGAAATTCTATTTTTAAAATTAAAATGTCGTAACGAGAATTTATGAAATATTATGCTACGTCCGCACAGGCAGGAGGTTTGCTTAGCGCCTAGCGCCTAGCGAGTCACCAAGCGAGTAGCTTAGTAAAACGAACGTTCTAGAGTCTTCGCGAACGGCCGCATTGCGCGCTTGGCGCCTAGCTAGTCGCTTAGCGTGTATCGAAGTAAACAAACGTGTTGGTTTTTTGTCGCTAGGCGCGAAGCATTCGTGGTGGATGAAATATTAATTTCAATAGTTTTTAAAGGGGAACCTCTGTGGAATCCCTTTAATCAATTCCATGAAAATGCAGTCGTCTTAAAGAAGCTACGGAAAGAGGTAGCAATCGAAGTAGAAAAATACTGTTATGCTTTTTCTTAGATGAGTATCCAAATGAGTTAATTTTACTTTAACTTTACTGAAAAGTAGATCAAATGTTTCTCTGGGCATACGCAAATATTCGTAAAACTTTTCGTCATAATTACGCAATTGTTTATACAGAACATTAAACTCCCCATGACTTGACCGTAACATATTTATGTCTTGGACCCAACATGGTAGAGAAGGTCGTGAAGTTGTATATTTTAAAGAATATTTTTCTGTAAGTAGCAGTTTCAGAGCTATTTTTGAAAGTGACATGTCGCTAACGTGCCGACAAACAAATGACCAACGCACCTAGCGAGCCTCTACGCAAGACACCTTTAGTCCGGCCACCGTAGTCACCTAGCAAGTAGCCAGGCGGCAAGCCTCTAGGCGCTAGGCGCTAAGCAAACCTCCTGCCTATGCGGACGTAGCCTTAGTCCGGTCACCGTAGTCACCTAGCAAGTAGCCAGGCGGCAAGCCTCTAGGCGCTAGGCGCTAAGCAAACCTCCTGCCTATGCGGACGTAGCCTTAGTATTTTATATTTTATGCAAAATAACTTATTGAAATCTCAAATGTCGAATTGTAAATTAAAATGTCACGTGTTTTTATTATCGAAGTATTTACAAAATTAAATTTATAATTTGTATTAATTTTCAACACTTAATATTTTAATGACAATTAAATTCATAACATATCTTCCTTTTTCCCTTCCTCTAAGTCTCGGAAATTTAAAGTAAATTTGTATAAATATGACCAAGACTTAAAAATTAGTTTGACAAAGAAGTTTCACTTATGATATGTGTACTTTGTACGCACGCATTTTTTTTTAATATTAGGCTAGATCGTAATGTTCCATAATGTCCCAGTGAAGACAATGTATTTGTTACTGTAAAAGCTCGAACTGCAGTAAATCCTAAGATATTCCAGTAAAACCTAAAGCGAGGTCCACACTATGCCGCGGTAGGCCGGGAGGGTTGACCCGGGTGGGCTAAGCCGGGCGGGTACGTTCGGGCCGGCACGACGTCCACACTGAAAACGAAGCCAACCGGGCTATTTCTACCTACATTATTTAGTTTCAACACCAAGACTGGTGATTTAGTTGAAGAGTACTTAAAATGAACAATAAAAAACCCTACTTAAGCAAACTGAATCGAAAATAAAATAATTCGTCTACTTCGGTCGGAGGTTTAATTGTAACTGAAGCCGCTCGGGGCGCTCGGCACGTCCCCATTCTATATTTTTGTTCGGCTCGGCTCGGCTTCCTTTGATCCGTACCTACTTTATGCGGGTTGGGATCGGCACGGCCCGGGCCGGCATTTTCTAACCCGGCAAAGCCGCCCGGGGTGTCTACATCAACGCGGCTTAGGCCGCCCGGGTCAGCCCGCCCGGCCTACCCCGGCATAGTGTGGACCCTGCTTAAGATCTACCAATTCCTAATGGTAAATGTCCCAAAAGGTTTGCGATTCGAACTCTTACCATTATTCCGTTAGTAATATATTTCTTGAATTTTCCTCCATGCCACCTCTTTTTTGTATGCATTTTTGTAATTAAAATGCCCAACTAAATATAATTCGGGATAATTTCGAATCAAATTTAATAATAATTCAATATTTTCGGCTGCCATTGTGCGAAATTCTGTCCTCACTGACAGAACGCGTGGGACGCATTGCGATGCGAAACTCCGCTAGCGAAACGGCTGCGTCTGTGTAACAGCCATTTCGCAGTTACTTGCGAAACAATACCGACAAGGACGCAACTATTTCATCTAGCTATATAATAGAGCGAGACAAAACACATGCGAAACATTGCCATACAACTTACAGTTTTTTCGTCGTTTCGCTGCCGCATGCGATTGCGTAGGTCTTAGGATTTACATTAATGGCACGTTAAATGTTGAAAAACAAAACATTTAATATATATATATATAATAACATTTAAATAACGTGTAATAAATTAATAAGAAAAATAATTATTAAATTAGACTAGCTTATGTAAGCATTATGTTTGTATTTCGTTGTTATTCCAAATAGAGAACTACTGATTCAGTTAATTAGATATGATAGAGATTGAGATATTCAGAGATATACGTTATGAGTTTTTTCAAAATAAGTTGGTATTAGTTTGTACGTATTACTATCATATGATACCTTTATGTACCTGTTTTGTCTAATAGTTCATTAAAGTAAATAATTAAGAATTACTCTTTGTTTTATTCCTAAAACCAACATCTACCAGCTGACATTGGTAAAACCTAGCATATACTGAATTCGAATGGTAAAAGCTCGAAAAAATCGTCGTATTTTCAGAAATACTTACATTTACCAACTGATGTCGGTAAATCCTAAGACTTACACTTAAATCTTAAGATTAACCGTAGTTCGAGCTTTTACAGTAACATATTTTTTTAAATGTACCGCTATACTTTGATAAATTGTACTATAGATATTATCTTGAATATACCTTTACCAATCTCATACCGGTAGAAATTACCGTTACACAAGATCCGGCGCAGGACCAACAGCTACCGTGCTCACCTAGCTTACGAAGTGTACCCGACTTTATTTCTCAGCACTTGAACCCAAGACCTCATGATCGGTAGCCAAATATAATAGCGCATATGTGATAATTATCTTTCTTATATGGTAGATGGATGTAGGTAACAAAAAATTACAACGTTATCAGACCCTAAACAATTATGGGGTGGAATTTTCTATCTGGCTTCCATGGACCAATTCCGAACCAATTGATATCATTAGAGCCGCTCTTTGATCGTAGTCTGAATACACGATAATTTTGATTTAATAAAGTTGGAATTTTTCATAATAAATTAGCTGCATTTCAAAGCGAAGCCGACTATCAGTTTTCATTTGATCAAATATTAATTTATTACATACGAATTCCAGATTTAATTATTCTGTGCATTTGTACTTCTTCTGTTCCTTTATCTGTATTTATTGAAATTTACAAATTAATTTAGTTATGACTGATCAATGATAAATATATAAAATTTGAATTTGAATTGAATATATAAGGAGTGGTTGCGAGCAGTTTTGGCCAATTAACACAACAATTTAGATCTTAAAATTTATATAATTAGAACATGGTTTCAAAGAAAAATGTCTTAAGATTCAGAAAAGAGACTTAGCGCTCCCATATGTCAAATCCAATACGTTTCTGACTTACGGAAGTCATACTTAGGCCTGAGTCTCGACTCGAATCTTACCCCTATTTTATATTGAGAATTTGTTGGCATTTCTGATACCTTAGCTTGTTATGTGAAAAGTAATTATGGTACTAAAAAGAAAAAAATATATAGTAGTAATAAATACTAACTCTCGTCCAACGTTCTATACGCCTCATAATTAATACTTCAGGAAGTAGCACGAGCAGTACGGAACAATTGTTTCTTATCAGTGTAATCTGTGGTCACGGGCGGTGGAGCATTGCTAGACGCATGGTCAGCTAAGATATTATCGAATATTTTGTGTGGTTTTTAATGTATCCTTATTTTCTTTTGTTTTTATAACGTTAGCACCAATATATTTATCGTCACGTAAGCATACGTATCGCTTTTATTGTCATGTATTAAACATAAAGAGAATACTGTGGTTTCTGCATTTCTAAAGTAATTATTATTAATTTATTATGTAAGATAAAATCGAAATGATCAGATAAAATTACATATAGACAATATACTACGTTACTTCATGTGCCCAAGCTAGGACTAACCTTCTGACAAGGGCACATATGATTCGCTGAGCTTCGCTTTTTTATAGTCCGTTGAGTGAACTGACAAAATTTCTGTCATTTGTTAGTGCCTATAGTAGTTAGTTCATTTGTATATTTTTAATATGTAATTTTGTTTTCATCCTCATTAATTCCTAATTAATTTCTTATATTTGTTTTTGATTTGTAATGTATTTTATTAATAAATTAAAAATATAAGCTGAATAACTAAAACCTACTAGTAGAAGATAACTATATGAATAGTATAAAACTTGCGCCCTTGCATAAGCAAGGCCTATAAAGGCACAAAACAAAGCCTTAATTAAAAACATTGTAAATAAAATCATATATCTTTGAGTACATGTGCATCCATTTAGTTCGTGAATTTTAATGCTACATGTATTACGATGGTCATTCAGTGAAACACTTCATTTCGGAAGACAGCTTATGACACAGAATTTTAATTTGGAATCAAATTAAGTAATTAATTAAATGTAATAAGCTTAATAATTTGAAAACAATATTTTCCTATTATGAGATAAGTATTTATGAGATAAGTATTTATGAGATAAGTGTAAGATAATTAATAATTAGTCTTGTTCATAGAATTGCTTGAGCTTCTAACAAGAACAGTATTAACAAGATCAATTTCAAAAAGAATTGCTTTGCATTCTCGTAAATTGCAAAGGTATTATTTATATTGAAAAATCTTCTTAATAACAAACCTAGATAGTCAAACGTAAATATATGTGTAACAAACGTTTAAAATAATATGTTTTAATGGGTTGTAGGAAAATAAGACCTATTTAATTACAATAATAACTCACGAGTTGTAATTGCCATGGGACGTATTTAGCAAAAAAATGCACTCGAATGATAATTTTAAAAACGGAACGTTATATGATAGACAATTCTTGTAACCATTTACTAAGCCCCCAACTTATAAACGAATTATACTCATAAGCTTGATATTACATATAAGGACTAAGAAAAGAAGAAAAACGTAAGTATGAATAGAATTTTAAATCCAAAATATAAACTATTAGGAGATTGCACGATTCTTTTGAAATAGGGTTTTTTATAAATCTGTACAATGTACATACAGTATATACATATAAATGTATGGAACTTGAAATGGTTGGACTAATTTGTTCAAATTATTATTATTAAAACTGATTAGAATATTTTATCATATTTATAAATCAGGCCTCAAAATCTTTTTTTATTATTTTAAATAACTAAATTTAAATTTCGTGTACCATAGAACCCCACCCATTCCATCATCCCATTTGTCCCGCCTTTCAGAAGAACGCGTTTTGGACAAAACTCACCAATGTCCAGATGGAGCATTCTGATAAATGAGTTCAGTCGGGATATCCATAGTTGCACCCCTCACACTTTGTAATAAATTTTCCTTTGGTTTCTATATTATATGAATCGATGTATTTTTTTATTTTCGTGTTTATGTTTGATCATTCAATCTTGTATTTTATTATTCTAATGTATCGATGTCTCATACATTGGTACATAAGAATAATAAATGCACCGGGGTTTTGTAAATAAACAAGTAACAATACATATACCTTAAGATATTTTGCTGAAAGAAAATTTTATTTTATTTTGAAAAGTAATGATTTTCTAAAAATTACTTGTCTTACTTAATTCCTCGGTAAAAATGGATTAAGAAAACCCGTTTTTTGTTTTTTTTTCAACGAAGAGAAGAATTTTTCATATCATAAAATATATAGTTCTATTTTAGTTTTGAAAAAGTGCGTAGGTTGTATTTGAACAGATTTACATGGACAAATAGATTTATTCATAACAAAATCTCACCAAAATTCGGTTTTATATAATATTATTTACGCGTGAAAGTATTATACCAATACTAAATACGACAATAGTGATATGGCGATAACATCCATCTCGAAGGAGATATTTCATAAAGTGGAACTTATTCGAGTGGAAAATTAAGCGAAATATTTGAAATAGGCGTCGTTGGGATTTTTATCCTAGAGTGAGTTGTAAATAAAATTAGAAAAATATATTCGCTCTCGCTATTTCATACACTAAAGCACTATAAATAGGCTAATATAGCACGGGTAATGATTTTTGTCAAGCGGTTTTTAGAATCGATTTTAAACACTAAAAAATTCAAAATTGTTATTGATAAAGAATAAAAAAATATATTATCAATGTTATTGAAGAGCTGGGAGCTGACACAGGTATTTTTTACTTAAAAGAGTTCCCAAATCTTACACATTGGTATTCATTGTAACAATTTTGTATGCTGTTCCATAGTTTTTCAGTAATTTAAAAAAAAATCAGTGGCGCTACAACCTCTTTAGGTCTTGGCCTCAGATTTCTGAATCTGTTACATGATAATTTTTAAATCTAATAGGCAATCTTTTAGTAATTACTAAACTTAAATTTACTATAATAATATATATAAGGCAGTATGTTTATATATTATCTGTGTCAATTATTTTTGAAGGACGAAAACTAGTGCACAAGTTTATAATGTTTAAAATTAGAATACGGTGTATTTTTTTTGGCTCAGCGCAGGCTATGGTCCTTCGACCATACCACCTAGTTTTAAGAATGTCATTCTAATTTAAGCTTTTATACGAAATCAATCCGATGTTTCTACAAAAAATGACTGTTGATGTATATAAAAAAATACGACTCATAGTAATAACGACTACTCATTTTAATATAGAACCTAGGTTCGAAAGGGGTGTAGTTTACTTTGTTATAAAAAGGGATAAATGGAATTTTCCATTAATGGCCTTGTGGTGTCACCACACAGTATAAATGTAACGTTCAGAAAAAATAAACCGTCTCTGGCCAGTTCATGGAAAGCATAAAAAATATTCAGAATTATCTTACAAAGGATAAGTTCGATTGTTTTTACGCACTTAATGCAGAACCAGCAATATCACTGGTAGTGTATATCCAGATTTCACCTTGATTGAGTGATGAATTAGTTTTTTAATAATTATATTTATTTATTTATAAAAGCGTGCCAACGCTCAGCAGACAGATACATTGGTACAAGAAAAATAAAATACACTGTCTATTGTGACAAGCACTTATAGGCCAACATAACATACACGAGAGAATAAAAAAAACAATTAAATTATAAAAACTAAAGGTAAATTATCAAAGTGTGAGGGGAGCAACTATGGATATATTATGTTCATAATGTATTAATTCAATTTGTACGACCATATTAATTATATTTATTTATTTAGGATTCAAGCTAATTTTAATATAATATTTAATCAAAATTATTAATGATTTTATAATTCGGTATTTTTCCCAAATGTATGTTTTTAAGAAGTAGTTGTACATAAATCTTCTCTTGTCTACTAATTACACTACATCGATAATAAAATACGTACCCAGCAAGAATATTAATCCGTGAATCATTTTTTTTAATTCACTGGTTTTACACTGACAAATGTATTTCAGACCAATCCGTGCGCTCACGTTAGGCCAACATCGCGCACTGCGGTATGTGCATGCGCCCGCGCAGAGAAAGGCTTTTACGCCATTTCCTCGCACATTGATCCTTATCTTCTAGGATTATAGGGCCTATTTAATAAGTATGGTGTACTAAATTTCTATTCCATTTTCTTTAGATTGCAACGCTGTGATACTACTTAGGTAGACAATATATTTTCATGTATAATTTCTGGAATATTTCAAACATATAATAAATCTGAATTTTACTCGCTAGTCTCTAAATAAATAATGTACAAATTTAAATATTATTAATAAATATTGTTCTATAAACTGGCCAGATCGAAACTCGTTTTAAAAAGTATGTCACAGTACCACTATGTGATGTGAACTAGCGCAGACAGTATCAAACACAGAACAATACTAATAGAGCCTATTATGCGCATTAATCACAACCTAAAGCTGGTGAGCTCCGAATCTCAGAGTTTAATGAACCATGGCGACACTGATTGAACGGAGCAACACCGAGGTATTTTGTGTTCCGTATGGCAATGCCAGAATTACTTTGAGTAGAAATTAGAAATCTAATCGTAAATCAGAATTAGAACGTCCGTTTTGGATATTCTTTATTCAAATTACGTTTCGTTTAAGGTTTTTTATTGTCTATGACTTAAGTCCAGATTTATTTTTGTAGCTCTGTGGTAGTGACCATAGATTAAAACTTTGTAGGTATACTACATACCTACAAGAATCTAACACCTAAAACGCGTGTTTATTAGTTCCATTCGTTAATTTTTTGCAATATTAACCATAACAATTATATTAACATAAAACGGTACATTTATAACGGCTTTTCATTGTTAGGTGCTGAAGACGTGGTACAAAGCTTAGTCCCGCTATATCCTTATATTGTAATGTTTATTTCTGTACATCATTATCGAGAAACCAGTTCCCGCCTTTACGATGTCGTTGAAACCTGAATCGCAAAAGGATATCGACTCCAAGACCTTATTTTTACTTACTCTTATTAAAAGCAGAAATGTTAGGCTTATGATTATTATTTTT